TATATAAACTGAAGAACTGTCGTGATCAATTAGCTCTTACAGTATAAGTTGAATACCACTCTCAGCTACTACCACACCAAGTTGTAGGTCAACATTAGTAAAACTGGCTGAGTTACAGTCATTTTGTGTTTGATAAGATTATTTAGTGGCAGACAGCCTGAATGGGATCAACTCCAAGAGTTAATCAGTTGTAGATGTGCATCAGAGTATTACTATCAGTTTATTAAAATAAGTCCAGGGATTCATAACATATTTTGCCAACATGACAGACCAACAAAACACACAGACATGGGCAAAACTATGAAAGCCCTTTCTCCTTCAATTAATGGCTAAATGAAGAGTACCGGTCCGGATCAAACCTACCCCTGCACCATCCCTCCACGGGCTCCGAAGCGGCCTCCTCGGCCCCTGCCGCGGTCTCCTCTGCGCAGAAAAACAACCATAAATTAAATGAAGAGAATTCACATTTTTTTACCTTAAGCTAAATGTTAGCATGTCGTTTTGCTTTACATTCAGTTTACATAAAATCATAACCCATTTTCATTCATTCACTCATGCGACAGCTAGCATAGCAGGCTAGCACAGGCCTGGACTGGAAGTTACTGGTTAGCACACTGGAGCTAACAACTGAGAAGTGCCCATGCTACAGAGAGAGCGGGATGGCAAAAACAACCATTAACTTAAAAAAAAATACTTCACCTTTAAGACTTTAGTAGTAATTAGACGTCGCCAGCTAACTACGCCGGGGCTAACTTAGCAACACAGGAGCTAGCCTGGCTACAATAACCCACACACAGAAAGACCAAGTCCTTATAAATGTGATTATAATTACCTCATTGCGTACGACGTTTTGATTATTAGGTGAGAAAACACAAGGAGAACGGATAAAAGTAATTTATTATTTAAAATTAGGCTCAAGCGTGGACCACAAAGAAAATCCGGCCCCTCGTCTGTTTCTTCTTCTTCTTCGCTTTTTGATGTAGTTGTTCGACAATGACTCGGCGCCACAGCGCCACCAACCGGACCAGACTTTGAACGGAGACTCCAGTGTTGTAATAGATTTCCAATATTTAGATTTTTTTTAAAACTTGTAATCAACATGTAACAGGATTTGTTTATCGATAATTTGAAACCCCGTTCATATGACCTTTCCTCTATGTTATGGATTGCTTTCTTGATATATTTTACATGAAACATTTCTTCCTCTCATCCATAAGGCCTCAACAAATTCTGATTTTATGCAATCATCAAGATTTGAAAATGCACCGTTAATCATAATATTGAATAAAATGGGACTGATTACAAGTGTACAAGCGAACGGCACGGTGGCTAATTTGGCAGGGCTGTTGCTTCTCAGCAAGAAGTTTGTCGGGTTGAATCCCAGCAGGGGACCTTTCCGTGCCTGTGTGGGTTTTTTTTTTTTAAATGAGACAATATCAGAATACATGATGTGAGTGATTCTCAGCTACTATCACATCAAACTTTAGCACAATATTTATAAAACTGAGCTATTTTTGTGTTGGCTAATGTGGAAGTGTTGTGGCGGCCATTTTGAACTGAGCTGAAATAATCAGTTGTAGAGGTGCATCCATCAATAACTTTCATTTCATCTTTGAGATATTTTGCTAACAGACAAACGGACAAATTCCTTATAGGTTGCCGTTACCTTTGAGCAGTGCACGATAAAGAAAAGTACACTTGTGTTTCTTCTTGGCTTTATCCTCTCTAAGCAGTGAAGACAGACAGTTCACTTCTTTCAAATCTGTCACAATAACTTTATTTTTACTGTGATTACATTGTTTACACATTCATTTACAGGTAATCATGCCAGCCTGGACTTCTACAACCTATAAGCTGAGTGTGAAAGCAGCGCGATGACAAACATCTGATTTTTAGAACAAGTGATTTTTTTATATTGCATGTTTGTCATTAACCTTCAGTGTTTATGTGTCAGTTCAAACAGTATAAATACAGTGTTCAGATGCTCTCATATTTCTGTGCACAACATAAACTGCAGATGTAGCAAGGACACAACAATCAGAACTGGATGATGGAAAAAAAAAACGTTATTCAATAGCATTGAAAGTGCTTCAGAATACACAAGAAGTGCTACAGCTGGCTGCTGCTGCCATTTACACATGTAAATACTCACATTGTTCTGCAATGGAAAACTGACAGCAGTGTTAACATTTATAAAATAGTGTTCACACTAGCCACTAGCCCTGAATTAAACTATTGCTTCAAGCTGAGGGCACTCAAAGAGCTATCTACAGCAGGTAAGATATTAACCGTTCGTAACCGTTCCACTGAACACTTAAAAGGATCTGAGCTCTCATTTGTGTGAAGACAGTAAAGCAGGGGTGGGCAGTCCTGGTCTTCGAGGGCCACAGCCCTGCATGTTTTACCTTTTTCTCTGCTCAAACACACCTGATTTGAATGAATGGATGATCATCAGGCCTCTGCAGTACGGAGGACC